ATTCAGTTGGATTTGAACTGAGTTCTGTTAAGCAGAATTATAACATAACCAAGGTTGTTTGCAGCAGTGTGCAGGCTCTCCATTGTAGTAGTTGGAATGGATTAAATACATGTAATGTGTTTAAAATACATGTATACATAGACATAGATAATTTTGTTTTAATTTATTCTTTTTTTTACTGGATAATTCTGGAGTTCTCTGCACCATTTATTTCAATGCTCAGCCCACTAAGGATGAAGCACTGCTGTAGAGGTATGCAAAAGCAACATCACACGCTCACAGCTCTGAAGAGGCAGGAAAATCACAAATATTGTAAATGCAAAGTGTAAGGTCATTAAATGGATACTGGTTTTAGCTGAAACTGAAGAGAGAGGGACTTGGATGACTAACCTTAGCAATTGTGCAAGTGACCGTAACTTCAGTAAAGTCAGAGGGCCTCCACTCCTTTATTCTTGGAATAAACATTGTCCTGACACAGTATTTGGAAGACTACTTAATGAAATTCTTCATTCTCCAATACACTATCGAATTTCATTACATTTTATGACAAAAAAGGCAGGAACGAAGATAAGGATTTGTTTCAGAATAAGTGAGCAGAAACATGGGTGCAAATTCACAATGCACACAAAAACTCCTCTGCACAGACAGGTACAGATGACGGCACATTTGGTCAAAACTTGTTCTAAGCTGATTCTGACCCTGAGCAACCAGGAAGAGCAAGCACGTTTATTAACACTGTGTAGCCTTAGCTTTGTTTTTTGGATGGATGTTTGTAACCTGTCCTGGAACTCTCATGTACAGCGTAGCGTACAACTCCTTGAGGTGAATAAACTCATACTTAGTGTGTGGCAAGAGTGACCCACCCAGTCAAATAGTTATTCATGGGTAATTTACTGTACTGTACACTGGCTCTATGCCTACCACATTCCCACTGCAGGCAAGCTCTAAGTATTGTATAGTTGTGTAGATGTCAGCATTTTTATATCACATCACAAGAAAGCTATCAATATAATTTGATCTTTAGAGAGAGAGAGAGAGAACATAAAAGCTCAAGTACTGTTCATATAATCTGATTATCTTTTTCCTGTTTCACAGAACTGTGGTGTTTTTCTTATCCAGTTTGATCTATCTTCCAAGGTCCCTGTGGTGTTACTACGCCGGTGGTATTGTCCCCCAATAAGTTTTAAGTAAACACAAGAGTTTATGGCTTGAGTTCAGTTACCTTCTTCAGAGGGTTGTGCATGTCTCTGGCACACTGAGAGCCTGGTGCAAGACAGAGGCCTTCAGTGCTCAGCTAACCTGAGGACAGACTCACTGGTCACCCACTCCCCAAAAGCTCAGTTGGGGCTGGACACTGGTTATCTTTCAGTACACACAGAGCCACATGGAGATGGCAAAAATCTTAACTAGGGCCTTGCTCAGCCAGTTGTGCTAAGCAGCTGTAAAGATTCTCACAGCCCATCAGTGGAGCAAGTATAAAACTCCCTGGGTGACTGTTTGAAAGTAATTGGTCGCTCAGAGCTCTCGTCGTTTGCTTCTGAGGGCTTGTTTATTATAAGAATGTTTAAATTAATGTGCCATCCTCTGGACACAGGGTTAATGCCTGGACTTAGGATTTCTTACTAGCTGCATCATCCATTCACTATATCATAAGCTCTGATAGGTCACTTTTTCTCGGTGTTTAAGCTTTCTCATGTATGAAATAGGCTTGATGATACTTTCCTCTAAATGGTATTTTCGAATCTGTGTATGACTGAAATTGCTAGGGTTTTTGCCTCTATTAATGGCATAGAGTTTACACTGTTCCAGCTTAACTGGTATCTACTTAGCTTTACCATAGCAATAAGAACTGAGGCTTCTACATATGTGCAACCACTTCATTGTTTTCCATGCTAATGCTGTTTTTCTTTATATAGATAGGGCCTAAGCATCTGCGTCCAGCTGATAAAGTAAGTTTCCTTTTCAGTTGTCTGCTCCTGCACAATTGGTCATTGAGTTCAGCAATCTTGGGATTAAGCTGAAGGAGTTTTAATTAAAAAACTAAAAGTGTCAAATATGGTTGCGGGACAGTCAGAATCATTTTACAGACACTTTTATATCAAAAGTGCAAAGGAAACACTGGCAGTGAAACAAGTTTCTCTGTTCCTTCCCTGAAACTTATGTATTTGTAATTGATACAGAAACTCCCAGTTTCCTACTTTTCTCCCACACTCCTGTGTTTTGAATGCTAATCACAGGATACAGAGAGTGTTCACAGAGGGAAGGTATACGGCTCTCTTTTATTTCCAGTATGGAGACATCCTTTTAACTGCATGCAGACAGCAGATGGTATGGCTTTTGTGGTGTCATGAGCTCTAGCACAATATACTCAGCCACTGCACAGCATGGTACAATTTAAAGCTGAGTAAATATGGGGAGACTGAAGGGTTAGGGGTGGGAAAGCAGTAGTTCCTAGGACAGTTGTTCCATTTTTATTTTACAAATTGACCATGATTTTGTTATGCTTCACTCTTGTTCACTTTCTGCATCTGTTCTAGAAAACTGCTTTCCTGCCAGGAACATACACCCAAACAAATAGTTTTAAAAGGATTGTTGTCAACTGGAAAAACCACATCTCCATTTGGAAGTTTTATGTTTTCTTTCATAAGAAGATGTAAGATCTTGAAGTTACTTTTTCTCAGACTTCAGAAGAGGAAGTAGCTAAAAAAAACCCCAGAAATAATATAAATTCCCAACTAATAAACATGAGGTAAGATCTTTTCTAGTCCACAGATATAATCTCTCACAAAACTGACTCTGAATTTTCTGAAGCTTTTTCTGGTCAGAAAATTCTTTTCCATTAGAAGTCCCCTTCTCGCCTGATTCAGACTTTTCACCCATCAGTCAGTATGTTATTCTGGAATCCCTCTCATTTTTCCCCTGTAAGGAAAAGTTTTGAAACTGCAAAAGTTTTCCCGAGACAGGAAATGTTTTCCTATTCAAACCTTGTATGCCCTGTGTATTCTGTAGTTGGTTTGAAGGCTGTATAACTTAGAGCCAGCAGAGGCGTTGCATAAAAGAAAGCAGCTTAGTAAGTAAAATAAAAAAAAAAAAACAACAAATTAGAAAGGATTGTTTTCACTGAGTTGCAACATACCCTGACAAGTAATATGCCATTAAATATATATGTATATATAGCAAATATACTGAAGTTTAATAAAACCTTAAACACCACCCCCCCAGCAGATACTAATTTAAGGAGTTATTGTGCACACTGGTATGCTGTGAAAGAACAGTTGGGTACAGGCTGTCTTATTTCTAGCTCCTCTTGAATTCAGTGCAGGTATAACATAATGTACATCCAGTCCCGAATCTTGTGAGCCTACATCAAGACACAGCCAGTATGTGACCATACGAGAGAGGACCCGTAGGAGGCAGGATTCATTAAGAGGCACCATTCTGTCTCAGCTCAGTAGAACAGCTTGCAAACTACACTACGCTCTCCAACATGCAGGATTTAGAGCACAGGCTGAGGGAGTGTACAACTGACTGTGTGAACTCAAAGACAATGTTATTGGTAATAAAACCGTTAAATGTAGCAATGCTTCTAATTTGTATAGTTTTACTGTAATGATGTACCATGATTTATGATCTTTAACATTTTACTGAAGTTTCATCCCATTACTGAAGTTTGTCTCATTCTCTGACAGAGTGGAGTATAAGTCTATTAATTAGAAATACAGAAATGGTTACATAGAATACATTAATTTGAAAGTGTAACAAGGAGAGCAGTGGTGAAGTTTAGTGGACCTTTGTTTTCCGTGGTTTTAATCACCCAGCCTGTGTTCCTGTTCTTCTTCTGATCAGTTTCTTGACTCTAGATATGTTCTTGCATTACCACGTGGGATTAAATTCATTGCATTTAAGAAATGGAACCCACGTATTATATGTATTTTGCATACAGCAAAACTTGTTGAATGCTGTTATATATTTCTCCAGACTTTTATAAAACCAGGGAAAAGTAGATTTTCAGTTCCTTCCCAAATTTATTACTTTAATAAAATAAAATGCCAATCTATGACACCATTTTCACATAAATCTTAGGAATGTTTTTGTTCAGATTAAAAGAAGCTGTTGGTCTGTATTCTCAGCCAGTGGAGCTATGCCAATACACAGCAGCTGGGAATTTCCTACCCTGCTATCTGTGTGTGGCAACGGATTCATTAGGCATAGGACATCTCCTGTATGCATTCTAAATTACCCAGCAGACTCCCTGACTTTTAACATATGGTTATCTTACATAAATCAGAGCTCTGCTTTTCCACAGTAAGTATATTTTTTGTACTTTGTGCAAACATTTGCTAAGCAATACAAAGCACTATTTGTCTCTTGATATTAAATAAGGTATGAACATGGTGCCACGGACTAATCTAATGTACTTTACTTTACATCCAAGTAGTGTAAAATATTTCATAATTCTTTTTTCTGTGTGGAGATAAGGTAAGAAAGACATGTGCAGGTGCAGTAATTTACCCAGAATCTTGTCATTGCCCATATCCTACCAGAATTACTTAGGAATCTGTGCAGCTTGTTTCTTATTTTCATATTTTAACTAGTACAGGGTATGCTTCCAAATAGAGCAAGGCTGTGATCTCAGGACACTGCTTTGAAGCTGTTTTCTCCCTGTTTCATTATAACATATTTAACATTATTCCATCCTGATTGCAAAATCAGTGGAATCTCCAAAGTAAAAATATATCACTTTGCTTAAATACGCACTAAAACCAAAACCGAGCTTTCGTCCTTGATTTCTGCTGATCTCCAGATTATTGTCAAGGACGTATAATTGAATTATAACCTTGCTTTTCATAGAGGTCAATGGCATCCATGCTAGTGACTCACACAGATCATAAAAGTATATTTCCAAGGGGTGTGGGTATAGGTGGGCTGAACAGCTTGGGCTGGTTTATAAAAACGAGGGCCTCAAGCCATCTGCGCTTATCCATTCTTCTTTGTTCCAGCTGCTATTCTGCTGTACCAGCCACATCACCAGGGCAACATGGCATTTGCAGGCAAATACGAATTCGAAGGCGATGAGAACTATGATGACTTTGTGAATAAGATTGGTAAGTATGTTTTGGGGTATAAGTAAGTCTTAAAGTTTTAAATTACTTAAATATGGTTTTAAAAAATATATATTTTATTAATGAAATGTGCTGAGATCAACAGGGGCTAAGACTGGTAGGAGTGCTCTGCACTTCAGCAAGGAGATTTAGTTTTCATTCTTCTAAGAAGCACTGTCAGCCGCAGGAAATAGTCCTGTTCTACAGAAGTATTATTCCTTTTCAGTGGCAGCAGAACGAAGGGCCAAGATGTGTGCAGTATAACGATCATGAAGATCACTTTTTCTGTCCTTAGTATTCATTGGTGGGAGTATAAATTTAGTATGAAAATGCTTGTCAAACTCTTACACAGGAACAGGTTTCTGTGAATGCTTTCAGAAGACTGTGCAAACCTGTTTCAGATTACCGTGCAAAATCTCTTAGGGACACTATGATCTGTGTGCATAAGTTCAGTGCTTGTGTTCATTTATTTAAAAAGCAATAGCAAATAGGTATGTGCAGCTATATAGCAAAGGCACCAAGTTCATACACATTAAATTCCATGCATCTGCATGTGTAGATTAAGCAGAAGGGAATATTTATTTATACCTTGTTTCTATACATTTATTATGTATCGTTTCTCAGGAAAAAGAATGCAAGACCAAAACTTATTATTTTAGCACATGCATTGATGTACCTGTATCTTCCTTTATACCAGTAATTTAAACTCAGAGCTTTGATACTGCTGTAAAAAAAAAGAAAAACAAAACAAAACCAAATCAGATGCTCAGACACCAATGTCTGAGAACAAGCATACCATTAGCACGCTTCAATTCAAATACAGCTGGTAGGCTATTAGGTTTGATAAACTATGTTTCTATTAAGGTCTCCCCAGTGACAAGATTGAAATGGGAAGGAATTGCAAAATAGTCACTGAGGTGGTGCAGAATGGAAATGACTTCACCTGGACACAGCATTTCCCAGGAGGCCGCACCACGACCAACACATTCACAATTGGCAAGGAAGCAGACATGGAGACAATGGGTGGTAAAAAGTTCAAGGTAAATTAATTTAGCTCTTAAGTTCTATGCTGTCTCAGTTTTTTAATGTAGGGTGAAAATCAAATCTGTCTCAAGGACATCTTCCTTAAATTGTTTTTTTCATCTGTCATAGCTTAGAAACATATGATTTTTTCCCCCCATTTCTTGATGCCCCTAGCAAAATACCTAAATCTGATTTTAAAGAGAGCTAGAGCTTCAGAACTGTACATACTAATAAAGAACGAGGGTAGAGTGTCAAGTATCTACTGGTGTCGCAGCTCAAGCAAACACAATGCTCATTAGAACGCTAAAGAGCTGGTTGGCAGCTGTGTCATTGTCCAGCACCATACAGCAACTGCAGCACACTCTGAGGCGAATGCTATGGTCCCTAGCTCTGCCCATGCCTCTCAGCAGTGCTCACCTTTTGAAGTCACCTGTGCCTGAGCCTTAAACAAAAGACTGTGTAAAGTGAAGGGGAAAAAAAAATACCTCTGTGTCGTCCTCCTTGTTGGAAGTACAGAGCACCTTGCAACTTAAGCAGCGTCTAGCGAGAGGGAAGATTACACAATATTGATCTGCTCCTGTCATGGACAAAACTTTGATACAAAACCTGCTGTAAAATGGTTGCTTTACTTACCTTATTCATTTTTCATCTATTTAAAGGGATAAGCAGTTTGGGACAGCTAAACTCTGCATTTGTGAGGTGTCCAGAACTCTACAATAGATTACTGGATAAATGCTTTATACAGATTGGAGAGACAGGAAAACCAGCAATTGCATTAGGGAGCTGTGACAAACTGAATATAGCAACACCATTGCATGATTGCCAGAATGCTTTTTTAGTCATACCTCTCTGATTATGAGAGGAAAAAAAACATGTCTTTGGCTTTGAGAAATCTTTGTGAAACCTAACAAATAGAATAAGACACAATTCTACTTGGTCAATTTATTGCAAACGTAACAATTTTGAAATACTACAAATTCTATTCTCTTCCTTTTGGCCCAGGGCACTTCAGCAGTCCAAAGCCTATTAAGTAGCCAAAGATGGAGGCAGAGTAAATGACTCTCAGCAGAGAAATCACTGCCTTTTAGTATAGTGTCACTAAACAAGACAAACTAGTAAGATGGTTTCCTCTTATCTGGTAAAAAATGTCCACTCATCCCTTCATTTTGCAAATTACTTTTTTCTCCTCTAAATAAGACTGGCTCATCTGTCTTTATTACTAAAAGCATAGGCAAGACCGACTAGTTATACAGACAAGACTGATTTTGTGGTGGAACTACATATCTAGTTTTGGCAGTCAGCTGAGCTGCTGTAGTATTTGTGATCTTCATAGTAGCATCCTGGCATAATTCTTCCATACAGAAGCAGCTCTTACAGCTATTGGCACATATTATAGTCTAAAGGTGTGACTGCAGACCGTGCAGTTATGTTCACCTATACTTAAATAAGCAAGATGAGATGAATTCTAGTGTAGTTAGAGGTATGAAACTCGGGATCTAGGGTAAAGATTCACATCACTTGTCCACAGTGACTTTTGTGCTGCTTGCAGGCAGGTTATTAGTATCTGAGAATGCTACTTCATACAATCATGCCTTTTACTTCACTGTCAAAACAAGAGAACCACATAAAACATTGAGGACTGAATGAGAAGCATAGTCAGATCATTTTTAGAGCTATGAAGGAATATTGTCTGGTTTATTGTGTAGATATGGAACTTGCATGTATTGTTAGATGAACATTTTTCTACTTCAATTGTGAACATTTAAGAACTAAAGCACAAGGATTTTAGTCTTGTTCATGAAGCTGCATGTGTAATACACAACTTCTACTTTTTTAAAAGTAAAAACTTTAAGCATCAGGTGTACAGGTGTTTACAGTGTATCTTTTAATATAAATGCCAGTAACCCGAGGCAACATTAAACCTTTCTCTATTACTCATTAAACCTTATTCTATTACAGGCAACTGTTAAAATGGAAGATGGGAAAATAGTAGCTGATTTTCCCAACTATCATCATACTGCAGAGATTTGTGGAGGAAAGCTAGTAGAGGTGAGTTCTCAAATATCCAGATTAGTATATAAAAAAAAAAAAGAAAAAAACCAAACCTCTAGAGCAACAGGCTTAAAATTTTAAGTTTAGAAAAGATCTTTATCTAAAGTAAAGCAAAACTATTAAATAAGTTTCTCCTTCACTCTAGATAATCTTCTACAATTTTGTGCATGTTTAATTAATTTAAAACTCAATGAACAAACTTTTAATCATATATTTTTGATAACTTTGAAATGTAGATTTTGCATCTTAGGCACAGACACACAGTTTTATAGCTGTAAGACTGGAATGTTCAGACAAATATTCCCAATTTGCCCTGTCTTTGACTGTATTCACTGTGCCTATGCATCAAGAATAGAAAATAATTTATATAAAACTTTTTACCTACTACTTACATGTTTCTATAAAGTTATTAACTTTGTTTCATTCTTAGAAAACTATCTAGCTGTAAGTCCTCACAGAATTTCTGTAGTACCCCATTTCCTTAGTCTTACCAAAGAAAAAACAAAACACAAAAGAAGTTGGATTTCAAGGAGAATCCTATTTTATCAACAAAATGGCAACGTAGGTTTGGAAGATTACTGAAACCACAATACTTATAGTAAAACTTGTAAAACAAATAGGATTGTCAAACATCATGATTTCTGGGTCTCAAAATTTTTCCTGAATTGACTTATGTCTGTGCCAGTTACCTATGTCTGAATGCATCTTCAATAGAGACTAACCAGAAGTAAGTTACTCTGTGGATCAAGAAAGGACACTCACCCTCCCTGAAAGTAATAGTGTCAATCATTTTTTGCTTTTGGAGAACAATTATCTCACTTGTCTAAAACCCTGATAACTTGGGAGTTGGTAAAGCCATGTCTAACGCAGGATATGTTTAAGTTATCCCTAAACCCCTCTTTAGAAGTTGTGTTTGTTGTGTAAGAATGTTTTTGTGCTCTGTATTTCAGAGTTGACAAGGACATTCAGCTTATCTTCTACCAAAGGGTAAAAATGTTGCTTCAGTAGAGGACAGACTCTGTGAGCCAGTTAGCAGGTCTTTTCATTTGTGACACTGAAGCTCTAATTACACTGTTCAACCAAATTTTTGGTTTGTTCTTTTTTCCAGACTTCTATTGCTTCTGGTGTAGCCTACAAAAGGACCAGCAAAAGGATTGCTTAAGGCAGTAAAGCCAGTCTCTTCCAGCGCACTGAAAAACAAACAACAGTACAAATAAATAGAGTGCTGATTGTCTTTCCCTCTCTCTTTGTATGAATTTTTTTCAGAGTAATGTTATCCTCAACATTAATGCTTACCCCATTCCTAAAGATTCGACAAATACTCAGAAAATCAGAATGCAAAAATCAGAAGATGCAACAAAGCACTTAATGATGGTGCTCCAGTCTTAAGTATTTCAGGATATGATACATTTCAGGTATCTTGCATTAAAAAAAGGCTTTTAATTACTTTTTATATTCTTTCTCAATAGAGATTGCTAGGCTTTCCAGCTGCAACAAGGGTTCATCCAGGCTCCATCAGTTTACCCAAAAGACAGGTTGCACATGTCTTATGACCAGGTGTTGGCTCAATATATTACTTACTCTGTTTCCAAGGCAAAGCATAATGCTGAACTCTAATTAGAGAAACATGAGTCAAATCTGAAACCTGTTCAATCCTGAGACATTCTTTTGGTACTTGCAACGAACAGATCTACCAATTTAACAGAATTTTGTTGAAATTCAGCCTCTTCCATTATATGAAGTCATATTGAGAAGTAATAAGGGATCTTTTCAGGTTTACTCCTCATTTCAGTTCAAGTCAGCTTGTACATTCCTCTGCAAATAATAATGTGCCATCTTAGAACATCTGGATTTAGAATGTGCCCATCATATGCAACATTTAACCAACTACACAGAATGACCTGTAGAGTTAGGCACAAGTAAACACTGGGTAAGTGTTACATGAAAATAAAGCTCATACTAGAACTAAGGGATGGTGGCGTTTTGTTTGAGCCATTCACACCCATAAGAACCCACTCTGAAGATGATGCTGATAGCTGGCGATCCCCTGCTTTGAAAACAAAATGGAACCAGCCACCACTAATTCCAGTTCTAGAAGCAACTACATTTAGTGTTGTGCAACTGGCACATTTTGTTTTCACATTCTGCATGTGATCAAGTAACTCCCTGTTATACAGACAACAATGCTTTGAAAGGAAGGGTGGGATTTTTATCTAGGCTCTCTAGAAAGCATGTAAAGGGTGCTTTCACATAGAAAAAAAGCATTGCTGCCTTTTCAACTGGAGGACATTCTTTAGGCTTGTCTTGAAATGGCAGTACAGAGAGCAAAATAAACACTTTAAAAAAAAAAGAACTTGTGCAAAATTATCACTAAGAATCCATCAGCGTTTGGCCCACATTTGCTAGTGTCTAGACTTTGCAGTAAAAAATAACACTAAGCTAAATTTTATTAAGCAACATCTGTACACTTTACTGATGAGCTGATTATACTAATCAAAGAGCATTATATCAACTTTGTTCGCTACAGTGTGTAAAACTTGCTAAAACAAAAGGATCAAACAGTGGCTTTGACAACTTTGCAAACATCAAGTTGCAGCTTTCTCACAAATAGGGAGATGGTAGTACTTTCCCTTTCCTGTTTAAAAAAGCAGGAAGCTGCAGCTGTAAGATTTTAAGTAAGTTCATTTTAACCTTTGATGCCTGATCAATATTAGCAGACTTTTTTCCACCTGTATCCCTGCTGCAGTTCTTGTCAGGACTCACTAATACAGTTTTTTAATGTTGGCTTTCTCATTTGTTTGGTTACATCTGCAATGTCCTCCCATGGAAGGGGGTAACTAGTGCCATTCCCCATTTTGTATTCCTAGCCATGTTTCGCTACATTTGCTTTCGCAGCAGCCTTTCTTACTTCAAAGTCTGCCAGGGAAATATGAGTTAATCAGCATGTAAAAATTCTGATCTGTGACTATGCTGCAACTAACAGCATCAAACAGCACAAGCACAGGGTGGAAAGTTTTGCATCCATTTGTTTAAAAAATAACTCAGCTTTGCATGCACCTCTGCAGCTCCCTCCAAAAGTAATTGTGGCAAAAAGTCTTCAGAAAAGTGGCTTTAGGTTGGCTGAACTCTTTTACATTCACTCTTCTTGAGGAGGTATGTTTTCACAAAAGAAAAAAAAGTTAGTCACATGAAAAAAGTATTTACCTGGAAATTAAAATGTGTGAAATTGCCACCAACATTTAAAGCATTCTGGAGAGAACTGTCAGTTGAAGCAGTATTAGGCCAACTCAAATTCTCATAAATCTTTTCCCTTTCAGAATCTGCTGTTGGACTTAATCTGCCCCAACTCCACCCATGATACAACGGCACAAAGAGAACCTAGAACTCAATGGACAATTCCTGCTTAGAAGATACAGTCACCAGAAGAAAGATTGAATGTACAACTGTGTTGTCCTATTCAGACTTTCAATCTCCTCAGGTAAGATAGCACACGCAAGACACACTGGCCATGTGAGCTGGAACAATCCGTTCTTAGATTATTTTATGTCCCTACCTCGTCTCTGCACATTTTCTGCCTGTTTCTTCAGCCATCTCCTCATCCCACTTTGTACTTCCTTATATACACCAACACTATTGGAATAGGACCTTATTTCTTGTACAGTGACCAAGTTCCTGATCTGCCTAATCCTTCATAATTTATTATTTTGCAAGGCCTTTCCATCACTTTTGTCCTGCCACTCTTCTGTTCTGTAAACATTATGAGTGCTCAGATCAGGTATTTTTAAGGTATAGACATATATTCTTTGTTAGCTCTTAAAAGCTAAGGAGAAACCACTAAAAAAAAAAAGGGTACTTCAGCTGCGTGCTTGTTTATTGGAAACTTTCATTGGGAACTTAGCAAGTATTTTCACAATTAAGCACGATGGCAGTCCAAAGTATCACATTGCACATGACGCAAATTATAAGGGTGATAAAAACCAAAGAAAAACCACACAACAGTACTGCCACATATATGTTGTTCTTTACGTCTGTCGAATGACGTAATAAAAAATACACTGAAGTCTTCTGAAAATAAAGTTTAACATAAATACAAAACCAACAGAATAAAAGATGAACTAAGTCCTCTAAACTTCTAGACTGATTTCTGAAGAACACTGCCTCTTCATTTACAGTTTGCCTTTTTTTTTTCCATAAACCAAGAAGATTCCTCTAGCCTGCTGAATGGAAGAAATTATTAACTTGATACCAAAAGTTGCATTCTCGGAAGACAGTTACACAAACACACATTAGCATGCAGGATAATTTTTCCCCTCCACCCTAAAACACCCTTAAAAACAATCCTCTAAAAAATATAATTTAAAACAGCACTGTGACACGTGACTTGAAAAAATTTCCCCAAGTCAGTAAAAGCATATTGCACATTACTTGTATTCTGTCCTGAGAACCTTCAGAGAAGAGACAAACCCAAGAGTACTGCCGCCTTCAAAGAAATTTACAATAGTGGTTGCATATATCAAAACAAAAGTTTCACATTTGCAGAAGTCCATTTCTTGTAAATATCTACATTAACATAAAAAAAGACTATACAGTTTTTTTGAACCATCATCTCTGGTTTCAGTTGAAAAAGAAACCTTTGGATATGTGGCAGTAAGGTGTGTGTCTCATCGCAAAGAAGCAACAGGATCTTCAATTTACCAGCTACATTTTCCAAGAGAATACCAAGATGGTATTTAAAAAAACTAAGTCAGCATTGTCTAGCACTCCAATCAAACTCTAATTTCACAGTAAAGTTAACCAGTGCCCTATCTTTGCCCCCATTAACACCAGTTCATCTGTCCTGAGCCTGAGCTACTGCCACAAGTCATTGAGTCCAAAAGATGAAATAACTGAAGGCAGCAAACCCTTCCAGAGTTTTTCCAAGAGGATTTCTTCAAGTAACATTAAATCCCTGATAAAGCTCATGAACAGTTTACTAACAATAATCTCCAGTCTCAAAAACAGCAGCACGTTAAAGATCTAAGAGATGATTTAAGGTTTTGGTTTTGTTTCTAAAATACTTGAAGGCAGAGTGATGTTCTGTTCAGCAGCACCACATTTAGATTCCAAGAGAATTTTAAGTAAAAAATGATTTGATAGTCATCTGGCCCATTTTTCTTTTTTTCCTTTTATTCTAAAGTCTTACTCCTGAACTGTGACTCCTGCTCAAAGAAAATGGAAAGTGTTCTACACAGATTTCTGCATAAACGAAGTTCACATTTGACTGATACCGATTTCAGTATATTTTCGTAGAAGTTTCCAGTAGTATAAGCTGCCACTGTTCAAGAGACACGTCACTGGGAGAAGAGAGCACTCCATGTTTTCCAACAGCATCCTCTAGATACATTGCTACTTGGCCAGAAATTCAACAAATGCTCCAGCCTGAAATAACTCTTCAACACAAGCTTTCAGCCAACTCTGACAAGTCACTAACTGAAGACTAGAAGGAAGTAATCTCCACAGGGTTTCTACACAGATGCCTCTCAAAGTGACACTGAGTGAGGTATATTAATGAATTTCTATTTCTCTCTCTCATTAAGAGCCAAAAGGTACAACCCTTGGCAGAAAGGCACCCAGGTTCCATTGATCAGTGGATCCAGATCAATGTCCTCTGAATGAACAAGTCATAAGGATTCTGTTCCTTCATGATTTTCATTCAGATACACATTTTGTATCACACACAGGGTCTCTTCTTCAGCTTCTATTCATACCACCTTTTTCTCCCATCAATATTTATCTGTCAAAACACCCAGCTGCATATGAGTGATGACCACTGAAGTAACTACTGCCATAAGCCATGGAAATGCAGTGTCTGGGCTCTGTTCCTAAGGCCACCTGCACAGCAACGGGCGTTTGGATGGGCAGAGTCTGGGCAGATGGCCGAAGGCTGGCCTGAAGAGCTGCATAGGAGTGCAGCGAGCTGTCAGCACTCCCAGCAAGCAGACCGCTGGGCCTGTGGGCCTGTAAGGAGTCACGATAAGCAGAGCACAAATCTTGCACTGGCGACTGGACCTGGGAAAGCGTAGCTGAATGCTGGGCTAAAGGGTGATAACTAGATTGCTGGAAGAGAACTTGAGTAGTGGCTTGATGGCTCAGATTTCCCACTGCTTCCTGTTCTTCATGTTGAATTGTTACTTGTTTTTTTACGTTACTGGCTTCTTTGATGTCATTCTCATAATATCTGAAACAAATTATAAGTAAGATTTATCAAAGAGAAAAGTTCTCAGAGCTTGCATATATCCCAAAAGTTTTCACTGGTCAGGCTACATCAGGTTTTTGGCTCTCACTGTATATGGTAACCCTCAGTTGCTTTCACAATTAATTTCTAATTATCCTGCTGCAGTCTTCCCAGACTAACGACAGGTTTATGGATCATTTTGCATCACAAGTATGTTTTTACTGATAGACTGGTTATCTTGGAACCGTAAGTCCACAACACAAAGACATTTTAAAATAGCCTGTGTAAGTATTTGCAGAGTATTAAAGTGCATAGCTATAAGGCAAATTCTTGTTAGATATTAGGAAGAAACATTTTCACACTTTTGATTATCATGACAATGGTGAAGCACTGGAACAAGTTGCCCAGAGAGGTCTGGAAGTCTCCGTTCTTGGAGACAGTCAAAACTTAACTAAACAATACCCTAAGCAGTCTGATTTAACTTCAGTCGGCCCTGCTTTAAGTAGGAATTCAGAAGTTACCTCCAAGGTCCACCACCACTCCCAACCTAAATCATTCTATTAAACTTTTCTTAATTTTCTGTTAAGACTGTATGTGCTCACATACCAGACCAGTTTTGATGCATTGCAGTCATGTGCTTTACTGGAGAAAAAACAAAGAATAGTTCTGAAATGTCTCCCTACTGTGTTCTTGATGTTAGAGATATACTGGTGTCTCTCTGCAGTATATTGCAGGTACAATGAGAAAACAAAGGGAAAAAAGCTTTCATCAGCCATCTGTGGAAGCTTCCATCCAATCACATAGACAACCAGTACAAGAAAACATAATGAACACTAAATTGTGCGCTCGCTGCAAATGTTGTTAAAATACAGTATTTAGTAAAGTGACCTGATTTTTCCCTTGTATTCCTCTCCCCAAACTGAACATTGAGATTACCAATGTAATACTGTACTCTTAATTATAGCTAAATAATTACTTAAAAAAAAGAAAAATAATAATTAAAAAAGAGTATTAACATCTTCTAAGAGCACAAGCAGGTTACATTCTTTCTGATCTTACATGAGCATCATTTCAATGCACTGGGCAAGATGTTCCCAGGAATAACATGTTAGCAATTCAAGCTGTGTTGTCCAGGCAGGAGAAATCTGCATACAGATACGTGAGGCGCACACACAAGCTGCAGCAATCAGAGATGGACGAAAATGGAGGAAAGTATGATCTACAAAAGAAAAAAGCAATTATACTCTTACTAGTCACTGCAGTGAGCCTATTATGCGTTTACCTGGCAAAACGGGACAAAATTAAATCCTCAACTTTCTTCCATGCATCTCAGAGTATTAACTCATGACCAGAAAAAGTCTCTCAAAAACTGGATGAAGCTTTCCTGAAGATCTCTGTACTACCTGTTTGTAACTACTATCAGGGCTTCACTATAGTTTCTTTCATTTCAGAAAAAGCCACAAAATAGACTGTGCTGAAATTTGTAGACTGGTCTCAACTGGACCAAAGTTAGGTATGGACAATCACACACATATTTACATTAGTGTTGAAACCAGCTTATGATGATGCTGCAGTTCATTGCCTCTCACATTGGAAGCGATGCTGCAAACCAAATCACTAAAAAGTCCCATCATTCTAAATATGTCATGTCTTGCAGCACAGGACCCTCTAAAAAATACCATTTTAAAGGTTTCATACATTGAACTGCATAATACCACGTCTGCAGCTGACAGTAGTTCTTACTCTGTAGCAGATCAAACATTAGACCCCATTTCTGACCGTCTCTCCAATTAGTGTTTTAAGCTGAAGAAAAAAAATTGATCTCATCTAGAGATTTCTGAAGAGACAAGGGGCTTATGCAAAAGGAAAGGACACCGTATCATTTGCCATCTGAAATAACTGCAAAGAGAAACTGTTCTGCACAGATAATTTTGTGCAATCCATATTATTACAAGTTTTAAAGCCCTTATCTCTTTCAGATTTTTGCCTTTTGCCAAATGGAAGATCATTCTAGCATAGCCTCTTACCTTGCACTGAGAAATCAAGGAAATAGTATGCATATTTCTCCATAAAAGCTTTGATTTTGGTTAGTGAGGTGATCGGCCAGCCATTGTGAAGGTCATTCTCACCAATGGACACATAGAGGTAGTAGTCAATGTAGTGTGCTGGTGTTGGTAGACAGAGGTTCCAGTTGAAGTTTTCCAAAAGCAGCATTTCCATTCTAAGCAAATCTTTCTTGTTCAATAGCACATTCACGTTGCACATGTATGCCAGGTTATTTAAGTGCTCCAACTTTGGAACTTTATCTTCTTTTTCTTCAAATTTACCTGCCAGAAGAGGTAGTTTTCAGATAAGATTTATCATTATGATTGAGTGTCCAAAAGCCAGCAAAGAACGCTCCCAAAACCAGAAAGTTTCTTTTAGAAGCACCTTTTATCATTAAAGATGGGAAAGTACAGTGACACAAGTAGGAAAGAAGCCAGACTGGTCAACATATTCCTATATCCTTTTTATGGTTTTGTTTGTTTTTAATTGTTTGTATATTATTGATGCCAAAACCAAGATTTTAAACTCGTTAGGATTACAGAGAGTTTTTTCTGACAATAACTGGAAGCGGATTGCTGACGGGCATTCAGTGAAGTGTGAAGAAAGAAAGCAGCATGGAGAAAATAAGGCAAAGGAAGATCTAATACTGAGGGGAAAAACCTCCTTTGGGTACGGAAGCTAAATGCCCATGCTACAAAAAGGAAGACATTAAAAACCCTCGGGCAACACCACCTTTGCCCTTGCTGCTTCAGAATTTCTCTTTGTTCCTTACTGTCTTGGAGGGCCTCATTAGCTAAGGTCACTGAAAGGCTAGGAGAAGTACACTGTAACCAAGTGATTAACATAAATAATTCCTATGGGGTTAGGAGAGAGCATACATTTTCAGAGTCAAGATAGCTGAGCAAAGCTGCACCTTTTTCTAAATTGCGTTTACCAGCCTACTGAAACAGCAGTAGTCTCTAGAATGACTCAGTTTTCACCAGTAGCTACAAAGTGCTGTCCTTTTGTACAGAAAAACAGGATCTCACTCTATTCACCCTTCTTTCATAAAAAGCATCCAATATCAGATTTGATTCCCAGGATTAGATCTATCAGTAATAAAGCAACACTGTTACTTTGCTGCAAACTTAAGAAAGCAATTAAGCCTTCTTAAATTCACACTGTTGGTTTACCAAGCCAAAAATGACCTACCTACCAGCAATTCCTTGTTCGAGAGCTAGCAACAATCAATCACCAGTAGTAAGTTTCCAGTACAGCTTAAAGAACATCCCTGCTGCAAAATACAAACCTATAGCTACTTAGAAGTACTCTGTAGTTATTTTTCCCTCTTTGTTCTTGAGGGCATATATGCCACAATTGATTCTTGCTTCAGTTGTCCTTCCATTGCCTCTGTAAGAGTCCTCCTTTACCAACACAGACTAATTGACAAGATATTAGCATGCCATACAGCTTCAGAGTATTCTTGTCAAATCTAAAAACAATTAAAATGAGTATTGCACTAGAAAATTATTTTAAAAGGAAGAAAGATCTTGCTATCCATTTAGGATAGCAATTCATCCAAAGTGTCTCCAGTGTATTAAAAACCTGACAATTTTCTGTACTGTTAGCAGCTTAAGTGTCTTTTTAACACATTTAAAAATGGATTTTCCATCTTTGAGCCTGTTCAGGTATCATGGATATGAAATGCATTAAAAGTGTAATACAGCAGCCACCCCACCATAAAAGAGCATAACAATAACAATGAAAAACAAAATTCATCCATCATATGAAATAGAACAGAAAAGGATTGTGGGCATGCTGTCAGTGAAAAAACCCTTAAAATTCAGGAGTCTGTATACACATTCATGAATCTGCTCGTCACCTGAATTTAGAACTCTAAGAAAAAAGAAATTTGAAAGAAAAGTTAACCCTTTGTTTTTTCCCCACAAGGTGGTATCACAGCCTGATATAGAAATTTAAGGAGTATGCTAGCAGAAGTAGGAGAAACCACTCCATGCCCAGGAAACTAAGGACAAGATCTGTCATTCTGGCTTCCGTAAGTTCTAGTTCCTTCTTTCTTCCCACTCAACCTTGGAAATTTCAACAGGTCAGACTATAGTCTGGAGAGCAGACTATCAGCACAGTAGTGTTGGGAAGGTATCATACTGACATAGGGCAAAGGTATTTGACTTGATCAAGATCATTTTTCTTTTAAAGTTAAAAATAATTGACAACAGCTATATTTAGTGATTTAGATTACCAGTTAGTTATTATTTCCCCCTTCTGCTTCTCAATACACTAGTTCCTAGCTTTAATGTTAGATAACAATGGCCACTGCAGCAGATTGGAGACACTGAGTATAAATGTAGCTAGCTAATTTGAAGAAAGGCTCCAAAACTGAGTTGGGAATGGGGGGAGAGAAATCAACTCAGAAGTTTTTCTTCCAATAAACTGTAAAATTTGAATATGAGCTACTTCCCAAAGCAACATACAGGCAACTTGATCACATTTTCTTTCCCAATTCCACCTTGACCTAAACACTTTGCTTCCAAGTTTACCAAGCACTTCCCACCTATTTTTGAATTGAAATCCGAAGACGACAGCAAAAGTTAGTTCATTCCATCAGACCAAATAGATCAGAGGCAAACTGGGAAAGAACACGTTTAAGATGTTTTTAAAATGCAGTGTGTCCTTTTCCATTTCCCTAATTTAAAGATATCGGAATATACTATTCCTATTTTTGTTCCTTCAGTTACACCAGAAACTGAGATTCTATGCACAGCATTTTTATGCTGAGAGAACCAGGACTTTCAACACAATTGCTGCAAGAATATTAAAGGCTCAGACAAGACAGTTGCAAGTCTAGTATTGACCAAACAACACTGACTGGATTAATCAACATCATGCTTTGGAAAGAAAAACAAAGCTGTTTCAGCTACATTATCACCTGGAGTCTGTAGTTTGGAGTTCATGAGAATTGTGTATGAGTCATTTCCATGCTTTTGAAATGCCACTGTAGACACCTCAAATTAAAAATTTGCTGTTGTGTTCTGAGCTCTGGTTACTGATAAAACCATTTAGTTGTCACTGTTGCCCTCAAAAATAGTTTTGTTTTGAGGTAACAAAATCATAAGCCTTTAAAGGAATGCTTAATTTAAGAAGTATCTGGATGCTGCGAATTTTTATACAAGGAGGCCTACTGAGGTCAATAGGATGAATAAAATAAGATGAACGTGTAATGTAAGTTTACATTTGTGACCAACTTTTTTGTAAAATCTAAATAGATGGGGGCAGCATGGGACATTTTTAAGCGTGTGTAGTATTACTGTAATTAATGATGCAAAGATTTTCCAAGTTACTTTAGATCACGGTCTGTCCCACTCTGAATTCTACAATCAGATGCTCCCCCAGAAAAAAAGTGAGTGCTTTTTATGTTATACATTCACACTTTTGTTCTGATGAATGAAAGACAGAGTAAGTTCTGTTGTCAAGGGCTTAAGTTATAAAGAGTACATTTCATTAGTACATTTGTCACATTATCAAAACAGCCTATCAGTCCATGCCAGCTTTTCACTAGGAAAAACTAAAGGTCTCAGAGGAGCATCACTGCTGTCGAGCGTACCCTGAAGAACTGATTCATCCACTGCAGGAGGCAAGAGTCACTATGTACACCTACCTAGTTACGCAGCATGCAGTTCAGACTGATTACTGGCGGTTGGGTAGATGATCTTCCTGGGGTTTTGCATGGGTAGCAAAACAAAAGCAGGACACGCAGGCAATTTGTTTTATTACATTTTCAGAGTCCTTGAGAAGACCAAGGAACAAAAAGGACTGCCAATTTGAAGAGTCATTAAAGTGTGAATACTTTTTGTCCCATAAACAATTAAAATCAATCCAAAAGAAGGATAAACCAGTCAAGCCCATCTAGCCCAGCATGCAGACCTACAGCTGCTTACACAGCTGAAGGACCACTTTTCTTTATTCCTACATTGCTCCAGAAGGTGGTACAACAAACTTCAGAGACTCTCTCCCATGCTGCCCCCAGATACAAACACAGCTTCTAACTGTCCTCTAAGCAAGGCAAGAAAAAGGCTATTTTAGAGATACCCTGCTTAATTCCTTTTTCTGCAGTGTCTGCAAAGTGAGCAGTCAGGGATTTTTCATGTCTGTACAATACCTAGCACACATGCAAACCACTTAGCTCAAGGCACACAAGTTTTTAATGCCTTACTATAGTAAAGTTTAATTACTGAAGAAAATATTCTGTACATGTTACAGCAACAGGGAAATGAAAAAAAAAAGTACAGGCTAAGTTTTGCACTAATCTATACCCTGGACCGACACCCACTATTATCTCTTATTGAAAATAAGTAGCTCAACTGTCTTTGTCAGAACAGTTACCTGCTCGTGAAAGTGTGACAATAAATAGAGCACAGTCCAATAGAAAAGCTGCTTGATGTCTGACAACAGCTCCACATAGTTAATGGGGAATTAGGTGATAAAGGATTATCCATACCCTAAACTCAGCCCATTTAGCACAGACATCTTTTCTTGCTCTAATTTCTTTTATTGTCCTGAGTTAACTCAGCTGCTGAGAATCCACTGGCTGATTAAGGAGCTGGGCAAAATAAAGCCAGGAAAACCACAAGAAGTACCCAAGTACTCTGTAAAGTGATGCAGCACTGGGTGTGCTGAACAGCAAGCTAGCTTTGCTTAAAGCAATACTCAAATTTAAAAACTGTTATCATGTCTCCACAGCAGCAGAACCCTCTTGAGGAAGAGGGGCCATAAGAACTAGAATTGCTGGAACATTCAGTGCCACTGAATGGCTGAGAGAGAGATGTGGCTTTTATCAGGTGCTGAAGCACCTGCTGCTGAAGAGGGTTAGCTCTTCAGGGAAGAAAGGAACAGCTTTTGAGACCCAGCTAGGATTTTACAGCAACAAGCAAAAGCTGCACTGCTTTAACTGTACTGATACACCATAACAGTACAGCCCTGTATACCGCAGTTACAGAACTCACAGAAGAAACAGTTGCGGCAGTTTAAGACTTACTGCCCAGGTGCTTGCTTTCTCCCCAGAGTTTACTGCTCCTGTGGCTGAACCATCTGAATGGACTGTGTCAGTGCATCTCATCTACTTTGGGGCAGTTGGTTTGCAGCGCTTTCAGCAGACAATTTGAGCCAAGTAGCGCTAAAGCAGATGGGATATCTTTACACAATCCCTTTTTCTAACACTTAGGGCTAGAGCACCTTAAAATATCATAATCATTTTCTGTAATAAAGTGCCCGATGAAGATGTAGTTTAGAACATTATAACCTGCTGCTGCTCAACAGTGCTCCTCTACAAAGGGCTGCCTTCTCAGCTGTCAGGTGGGGTGAACTGAAAGTTCCTCAATTCCCTTCAGGCAAAATGCTAGTTAAACTAGATCAATCCACTTACACAATCCATCAGCCAGCTGATCTTGTCTGGAGAAAAATCAGAGCTTACTCAAAGCACTGGGGTGCTTTGGGGGAAAGGGAAGGTAGTGACATTTTCAGTCGCTTATGTGTTTGCAAAGTGAGCATGCATCCATAGCTTGGTGCAGAGACAGCAATCCTGGCTTCTGTGCAGGTGTACTGGTAACTATCCTGCTCTAGATCCAGTTGGCTCACCTGAAGACCACCAGTCCCAGCTGCCCAGCATTACTTCTCACCAAAAGCCAGCATCTCCCTGACCTAACAGCAGTCAACCTGAGCAATCACTAGTCTGCTTCAAGCGAGGGACAGATAGATTGTCTTGAGCAATTAAAACCACTGGACTTCACTAATGATCTTGCAGCAGCAGGAACCTACAACCTTTTGTATTACAAGAGGTTATTAAAAGAAGGTCTTCTAATCATGTACCTAGCCAAAACATCCACATGGACCAAGACTTTCTGTATTACAAAAACATGTTTAGTTTATGATTCTGATTTAGATCATAAAGTTTCCCTTAATGCAAGTGAAAGAGACAGATTATTCTAAATACATTCCTGAAGTAACTGTCACATCAATTTTTCCAGCAACTTTTCCGTCCCTCCCCCAATAGCTTTTAGTTCACCTCTAGATTAATGTTAACAATTTTTACCATTCTTTTTCAGAACTGATTCAGAGGAAATAATTACCATTGATGACATTAGTAAACTTCAAAGCTTTTATAGCTGTTCTGAGGAGCTAAATTATCTGGCAGGAATTTCCAGAGGCCTTCTCCAATTATCATGCTGTGCATACATTGCAAAAGAAACATACATCTTCCGGCTAGTGAACAACTGGATGATTCAAGGGACACACCCCCACATTCCTTTCAACTGCAGCAAGTCCAGGCAGAACATTACTTGGCTCCTAGTGCAATTTGTTTGGAACAGTATTATCTTCTTACTCCCTCTTCTCTTTCACAATTATTACCGAAGTGGGAAGCACGATCATCATCCAGTTTCCCTGTCTGGGGAAGCTGATGAGCCAGTCAAAATGCATTTCTAGAATACAGCAAGAGAGATTAGCTCCGGCTAACTAAAGGACATCTAGTGAAATGCTATGTTCTCCACCATGAGAGCACTGCTGTTGTATGCTATTGAAAATAGGCAATGGCAATGTTAGTAGGTAAAGGGGGAAAAAAAAAAAGAGACAAGTTTTTGAGATCCTTTAGATCCGAGATAGAAGCAAACTTCAAAGCTAAACACAAGTTTACAACAACTTCTCTGAGCTTAAAAATTGTCCTCAACATGCATTTAGCTTAGAAGTTTGTTGCTTCCATTTCAAAAGTTGTGTGTCTAAAAGCTTCTCTGTTGTGCCCCTCCCACTCCCCAACCGCCCCCCACTTACAGTAATTAGCGGGAATAAGTAATCTTGCCTCTAACTACACCTCATCTTGCTTGTGGTCTGCACACTACCCTTAATCTCTTGCTCTTTTCTAAGGAAGCAATCAGAAAGAAAACCCAGAGTTTCTCCAAATGTGTTTATAACCATTATTGAAAGACAGTCTGCATTAAACATTCCTCTTGATATGATGTAAACACCACAACTATTTAAAAAAAGATTAGTTTTTTGCTCTCTACAGTAAAGGCATATCATTTTTTAGAAGTACAAGCATCTTGCAACAGAGCCTGAAGAGCACTTTTGCTGCAATCCTCTGCTGAAAAACTATGCAACTTCCTACAGTAATGCTTCACGGGAAGTTCTAATTACTGCCTTTGCAGTAACAGGCAAGGGACTAGTTTTATTCTTGTTTGCTACAATGAGAACTTTCAAGGTGACTTCAGGTCAATACTTCTGACTTACTCAGAGTCTTTTACTACAAAACATAAAAAAAAAATCATAGTACAAGTTTTCTTCCATTTCATATAATTTGAAAGTAACAAACAGAACACAAGAATTGCCACTTACTGTAAAGTGGCTTTTCCTGACTTGACTTGCATCACTTTGAACTACACATACCAAAAAAGAATATCCTTATTGCACACTAAGATGGCCCAGACAGTAAACAGAGCTTACTATGCTCACAAAAGTCTCCAAACTGAGCCCTGGCATTTTAAACCTTATCTATACAAGTTAATTAGGCATTAATTTTGTGCAAAGCTGCTTTGGTTCAACTTTCAATGTTTTGTTCCTACATGTTGGTAGGAAAGCTGCCTTTATGGTAATAGACCTTTTCCCCTTCCTTTAAGGGGTGATTGAATTCCAGATCAGGATGTATACATGCTACTGCATTGCTCTAATCTTAATTTTAGAAAGATTCTCATACTCATTAGCTCACTAGACTCAGGCTTGCTCTTTTAAGCAAATTGCCTTTTTTTTTCTTCTTAAATAGGCAGAAGTTGCAAAACATTTCCCTCTAGTCTTACCATAGGGCAGTTCATGTGAACTTCCTTTTGCTTCACAGTTGCATAGAGGTGGCCTAAAGTTGCATTTTACTTCCGTCATTTACATAACAAAAATCTTGCAAGCTTTTTTGCTTCTTTTTAAATTCTAGAAGCTACAGAAGTCAGCAGTCCAGCTCTCCCAATCTCATATAGTGAACCTCTACCCAAGATCTTACCAGTATACCAACTCTGACAATTCATACAAAGTTTGAGGGTACTGTTTTAATCCTATCTGTGTAGCACTAGAAACGTAACCTATAGCTATAAATTCTTCCTCTAAATCCAAATGAAAAGTTATTAGAAGAACTGTTGAAGCATCAATTTTATGCTGGGGAAAAATGGAGGAGTATACTTGAAAGCGTCAGATTTATCTAAAGAAAATCCTATTCTCTTTTCCTGAAGGTAACATTCATCCATGCACTTGGGAAAAAAAAAAACCCAAACAACAAAAACCCACACACAAACCCAAAAAACTAGCAATGCTGCAAGGCATCTTGTAGTTATGAGGTTACCCAAAAAAAGAAAGAGATGGTCTGAAAGATGAAGGAGTACATCTCTGAGCAGGCATCGGTCTTCAGGCTACCTGAACTTGGTATTTCATTCATTCTGATGTGTTTGAAATTAAGGGTACAGTTTCATAATTATTTACAAATCAGCCCTAGCCCCTCTCCCCTCCATTGCACCAGTACCTGAGGCTGGTCTGAACCCTCGGAAAAATACATCTCTGGTAAATAAAGAAAACACTTCCTCAGCTGGGATGGTTTTCTGCCAATCTACTGGTCTGAAGGAGCTTACCAAAGGTTCAGGTCAGCAGAACTGCAATATCCAAGAGTCACTTAGGCTGCCTTAAGACTGCACCTACAGCAACCATTTACATTCTTCTTTGTTCCGATTTTAATATTGACCTTTTTTGCAACATGAACCAGTAACTGCTCCACATAATTCACCATCTTCTCTGGAGTCAGATAGACAGCAATGCTTAAATACACTAAGCGTATAGGGTTTTTTATTATTTTACCATTGTCTCTGCAGATTAAGCTCTTCAGAACACAACCAGCAAGGAAAAGCAGTAGCAGTACCATGTCCTGATGGGTAAACATATAGTATCACCTTCTTTCCTCAATAGCTTCTGTCTCTCCATAGTTTTTTTTTTTCCCTTAACCAATACGACTACTTGCACTTTTCAGCCATTAATGCTAGAGTTTGCATAACTTTTGCAGTCCACAATAGTGCATTGCTCTACATGGCTCCCATATGGCAGGATAACTTCTCTGTAACCTAGAAACAGAGTTCATAAGTCTGCGAGGGTAGACTGCAATTCCTTGAGGCACCAGTCTCGCTTTTCTCCACTTGCACAGCCCTGGCTGCAGAGATTTCAAGGAAGCACTAATAACAAATGTTCAAGATCATTTGCTAAATGGATGCCAATACTGAAACTTTAGTATTACGGAACAATGCCTAGCTATTTGATAGGAGCCCAGAACAAGTAATACGCATTCCAGCATCATCAACACATCCACTAAGTGCCTTGAGAAGCACATTTTCCTTTGGCCTCTGTATAAGAAACCTCTGATTTGCAAGGAACTGATTATGCCCAGCAATCACAACAGAGGCACAGATTGTCCAAGGACAGACCTCCAGGAGAGGCTGCGTGTTGCACAGATGTCATTCCCTACTACCAACTCTTTCTTGGAACCAACCTCCCCCACTCTTGCCACTTCCTTACCACCCCATCACCCCCTGACCTTCATTGTCCCCTTCCATTGACCCAGCTTCAGCTGCCAAAACTTCCTCTGCTCATTGACACCAGCATATAGATGTGTAGTGCAAGCTATGCAGTTGAGCAGAGTTTATTAACAGACTGCTTTATGCCTTGACTTGGGCTTCATTAGGCCTTACCCTAAGCAGGTGGAAACTGTTGACACAGAGAAAACAGCACATGATGTATAAGGAAAACAACCATCTGCTCAGAAAAAAAAGCCTTAATAGACAGCAGCCAACTTACTTGCTAGGAGAAGACAGGCAAATGAAATGATGTGCAGTTGTTTGATAGTGATATCATAGCGATCCATAAAGAGGTCCAATAAATAGATAGCGAGATGCCTGGCCGTAGGGCAGAGATTGAAACGGTTGCTGAGGACAGTCAAGAGATCAATGAAGTATCGGCGCATCCCAATCTGTGGTGAATGAGCCTTATACATAGGCAACTTAAGTTCCTAAAGGGGAAAAAAAAAGGGGGGGGAGGAAAGAGAGGTACTGAAACAAATACCATTTCAGTGTCTGGAATCCCAAACCAACACCCACCACCTGCTATGGCAAATGCTTAGCAGCTACAGCACTATGATTGACACAGAAATCAGGGCTGGATTACTGCATGTTTTGACAGTCAGTTAACTTCTAACACTTCGGTCATCCACGCACTTTCCTCACAAGCTTTAAACATGTGGTCTAACACTGTAAATTACAGTTTAACTCAGGAACAACTCGCTATTGCTTTCTACAGAACACCAAACTTCCTGGCCATGAAAATTGTTCCTGAAGGACTCCTTTTTAATTTTGTTCACCCAAATTGGACTGTTAAGTAAGGTTTTAACAGCGTTTCATAGGCAAGAAGGGCAAGGTACATTTCTCTGATATTGCCCCTTCCTCAGTTGCCCAAGTTACTACATCCCATGCCAAAACATGCGTAAATGTTCTTTATTCTAAAGACCTATCTAACATTAAAAAAAAATTTAAAAAAATCACATCGTGCATGGCTGGAGCAAGAAACAAAAGTAGACATTAACAAGAAAAACAACATTGGAGAATGATTAAACTTTTCTAATTTTCTGTACTAATCTACTTCAGCATTATAAAAGCTAACTATTAAACTGACAGACTGTATTTCACATGTAGTATACAAATTTTCATTTTAAAGGCAGAATTATATAAGTTTTTGGTCTACCTGTGCTAGATCTTCACCTGCAAGGGTTTTACACACAAGCTTGCAGTCACTATGCAAAGAGTAGGTTAAGAGAAGGAGTGAAGTTCCTTGGGAATACCCACCAACTAATGCCACTTAAAAGTTGACACTTTATCATTTTAGACATGGTTGTATACTAATGCAGTTACCATTTTGACTCAAATCAAAATGGGCTGAATATATTTGATAGGCATGGATTAAAAAAACCCACACAAAACCATTTCAACAAGGTGTATCTCTCAGTAATTCAGATGCTGCTTATATGTCATTTTTGTATTACATATATTTAAAAATAAATTAGAAGTAGTACAGTGCTGCAAGATAGACATGTTTTATAGCGGAATACAAAGCAGTACATAGAGCAGTTAATTCTACTAAATAAATCAGGACTTAAGAAAGCGTTCAGAGGAAGTATCTACACTGGCTACCCCATTTACAGAAGCAAGAGGCACCACCTTGCACAGCTGGTGCGGTGGCTGCCCACACTCCTTTCATCCCTGGAAGGAGACATTCCACGAGGACGTTCAACTTATCAGGAAAAAATAGCTACACAATCAGGCTCAGAGGGGCGCACATAACTGGAAACCAGGGAGGCTCCAGAATGAGAAGCAGCTTACAAAGACAGCAAGCCGAGCGCTGTTACGGATGATTGCTTCCCAGGCCTTTTTAAAGAAAGTCAGTGAAAAAACACATTCCGGACTGAACAGACACATGCTGTGGACAGGCAAACAGCCCTTTGAAACCTGGAACAGCCTTCACTGGAGGATTCTAAAGAAATCTCCCACCAGTAACAATTTATAAAGCAGGGAGACAATGGAACATGTTCCCCCCCATTGTTTTATACCCAGAAAAACCCCATAAATTTGATTTTTCGATTGCCTTATGCACAGAGATTTCAATCTGTCAGTACAACTGACATACACAGGTTCAGAGCAGGAGTTCCTAGTATACCCGTAATATGAATGTTCTGGCAGAAATGGTTTCAAGCTCATTGCTTACATCAGTTAAAATAACTGCATTTTTTTTTATTGTCTCTACAAAGCTCAAGCTATCATAAGAGGTGGCAATTCTACCTCTGAAATATTTTGTTCTTCTAGGTGACTGGTAGGAGATTAAAGTTTTATTTTTTGAAATGTCCTTACTGTTTCAACAGCTATGTCTCCCAGCAAGATTATACTCTCTATATTCTCTGAGGTCAGCATATATATTTAATGTGAAATTTGCTTTTTAGACCACAACAAATGCAAGAAATAAACAGTAACTCTAGTTATACATCTAGTAAAAAAATCTGACGTGTCTAAATATTACAGTTCAGTGGGTGAGCATTAGACGCTCAGAATGAAAGCAAGAGACTTGCATCTGAACCTCAGATGCTCAGAGGCCAGAACTACCCCCACTCAGCCAACTGTGCTAGAAAATTCAAAGACCAGTCGAAGCACTGAATTTAAGCCAATAGGGTTATTCTGCTACTGCTTTAACACGGACATTTACTCCAAGACATCTGCTTTTTTTATTTTTTTTTTTAATTAGTTTTTGAAAATCGGTTACTAGTAAAGGGTGTAAGTGAAAGGCATTCTCATTTTGTGCACAAAAAAACCCACGTGGGCTTCCGTATAACGAGCCTTAACAGCGCAGACAAGGTTCAACTTCAGGATTAGCGTTAGGAGGAACAGAGCCACGTGCTGTGGTTTCTTACAAGATCAAGTTCCTAGGTATTAACTGATCCAGGGTAATTATCTGTGTATAGGCAAGAGCATTGCCCTGCACCACATAGCATGAAGCAGCTAATAAGTAGTTCAATAGGACTGCTTTTACACTGACAGATCAGTCTTAAATGATGAGATTTTCTTTTAAAGGTAAGCGAGCGGTACATAGTTTAGCAATGTAAGAGCTGAATAGCAGGCTTACAGTTATCAGCAGGGCTGTGGGTATGCACCCCTTTCCATCAACCCCCCCCCCAGGGTTCTTTAGCATAAGTTGATTAAAAAAAAATTAATTATTCCTTTGAATTAAAAAAATGCCTTTGCTGCTTTGGGAATACTGATGCAGGATTAGCAAATACAACTCTATGGAAAAAACTGAACTTTTGGGGAGCAAGAATAAAATAAATCGTTTCCATTGCTTAATTTTTTCCTCTATCTCCAGTAAAGCAACAGAGAAGAAACTGGGAGTCCTGCTGTCTGCTGGAATTGCCCTTTCATATGCTGCTTCTGCTTATCTTTGACCTGTTCATTTGTATCTACGTCAACAGCTTTGCTTTGGGCTACTGAGCAATTGCCACATTGAAATGCTAAAAGCGGCAGCACATGAGAGGCTCACAGGTGTCTCGGAAATTACTTAGCAAGCTTTGCTCAACATATTGATCAGTGTCTCTCCACAGAAAGCCTCCAGAAAGGCAGAGCACAGCATTTAAAGGGATCACCGCTTAATCTCAAAACCTGAAAAGTAAGGCTTGGACTGAGAGTCAGTCTTAAGGGCGAAGACAATTTTTAAGCCGCCTCCTCCTACCAGCTTCAAGACCTGACCTTCTAGAAGAAGGGAATCAGCGTAAACATTTTAAGTGGTGTTAAAGACGACAAATCTTCCTCGGCAATCACATCTGACAGCCAGCCAGGCTCCAGACATTAGCCGTTCGTTCGCTGCAGAGACACAGCTCACCACCAGTAACCTGACCACTTCAGCTGGCACCATTCATTACCTGAGCTCAGGAGACAAGATTTCATCTGTGGTTCGGGTGGTTTTGTAACTGGGCTGAGCAAACGCGCTTCAGAGTCCATCCCTAGAGGAGATACTGGGCAAACAAGACAAACTAAAGCTTCTGAGCGACCACGTGAAGGTTAGGCTTTCACTGCCCGCTTGAACTAATCAGCCAAACAGCGACTGAAGTGGCAAGGAAGAAAACTTAACAGGATCGCTTCCTCTAGCTCCTTTGAAGCAGCAGCTGGTGCAGGCCAGTCTGCCCAGCATTTATCTTCATCAGACGGTTTGGTGTTCAACATGGCAAGAAGTTCCACACGTGCATTCTTTCTGTCCAATTTCTTTTCAGTAAAACTGTTTTCCTACTGATATAAAGCCAGTAATGAACTGACAAGCAGTCAGGAGAACAAAGTTAGCAGTAGAAAAGTTAGCAAGTGATGTGACATTATGGTAATAAGTCACACTAATAACGATCAGTTCTCAGAACAAAAGTGGAATTCATCAAGGTATTTTAGAACAACTCTCAGATTTTTTGACGAGGAAAATGAAATGCTGTAGCAAATATGCCTCGGGTTCTGAAATTCGGGGAGATGTTAACTGAATCTGGTTTTCTACCAGGTCAGAGCACTTGGACTTCAGCTGGGGTCTGTTCTGTCCCACAGGCCAAACGTGCAACATCTCCTGACTCCCAGCAACAGTTCCCGTGTTTCTTACTGCCCTCCTCCCTCTCTCAGCACCATCCATCTCAGCTGCAAGATACCCAGCTGCAGCACACAGGCATCTCCAGAGAGCTGTGTGCTCTATGGAGAGCCAGGTAAATTACCTTCTCATTTCTGGAGCAAAATGAAACACCGAAACCAGCGCTACTCAGTAACAGTAAAGCCCATTCATCTAGAAACAGATGTTACAATACTTGCCTACACAGATGCAGGCTCCATTTACTACTATGAACTTCATACTTCTCTCATTATTATCCTTCTTTAATCTTACTATCTACTTCTGTTTCTGGATATGCGAGCAGAATCCAGCGCCTGGCCCCTGCTACCACAGCTCACAGATCTTGACCACCAATCCTAAACTGAAATCTGAAAAAAGGTTCCAGCTGATGAACAAAATTACCCACTGAAGGTATATAACTAAAGTTTCAACAAGATCTCCATGATTCTTCTTAATCTAGTGTTAAAGTATATAAACCCAAGACACCACTTGCGTGGTGTCTATATAAGGCATTCAAATTTAAAATGAAAAAAAAGATAAAAAGGAAAAAGGCTACTAAGTATTTGGGTTAGAAAACTAGTAAAAACCATGGTAGCTTTGGCAATCATTTAGCTCCCTGTATGTTGTATGTTCTGGAAAAATAGCATGTATGTGATCTCCACCATATTCTTAAGAATTCCTGTTGTAAGAATAACTGATACTGCAAACTTTTTGCCATTAGAACAGGAAAAAGAAATGCCTGTAGATGAAAAATAAAGGGAAAGCTTATCTAGCAGGCTTTTAACAGTTGTTCTTTGAAAGAGACAAACGCCTTCCTGTTTTGTGTTCTAACCAGTCTTC